ACGGCATGACAAATGGCATGTAAGTTTGGTGTTATGAATGTTAAGATAAATATTTCTTTTCTATATTTGATAACAACATATATGATAGAAATAACTTAAAATTTTTAAATTCATTTCAACTCTTATGAAGATAAGTGACAGATATTTAGTATGGAGGTTTGTGATTAACTTCAAATATTTTGAATTAATTGAATGAAAAAAATGTTTAAATAATAAACAACAAGTAATATGAACCATAAAAAATTGAGTATTCATTGTATTTAAATACAATCTTTTTTTATAAAAAAAATAAATATACACCCACCCAACAAAAGAATTTATAGGCCTGTTTGGTTTACTTTTTGAAAAAATCTCTATTTTAAGATTTTTTTCAATATATTTTAATATTTGTATATTTCAAAATTATAATAAAAAATAAAATAAAAACATTTTTAACTTTTATTTTTTTAAAATATTTTTAATTATATATATATTTTTTTACTTTTTTTAATATTTTTTTCTTAATTTTCTCTTTATATAAAATATACTTAATAAAATTTTCTATATTTATTTATTATTATTTTTTATTCATTTTAACAAACTTTCATTGTAACATTTAATAATTTCATATAACACTTTATAACCTTTTCTACGAGCAAGTACTGTCCTGTAACCAAACACAGCCATGGTTGTTGCGTTCGGCAGGGCAAACACTCACAGGGTGTCCATCGTTTCCACTTCGCGTTTAACACTTTCCATTCCCCAGTCGGCTAATCCAACGGACCCAGTTCTTCTTATCCTGCTCTGCTAGTGCTTAAATAGTCCTGTGAAATTATTTCTTATGAACAGATTTTACCACTTGGAATGTTACAAAACTGCAGTCAAAATGGCACAAGCCTCATATTGTGGGCACCCCTCTGCACAGGCTGGAAGCTGCCTTTTAACTCACCAAATCCAGGTACCAATCCTGTTTCTGCTCTTCTTACACACAGATTTATTTCAAATTCAAATTCCCAGTTGTTGTTCTGTCTTTTTAGTAACACTTTTAATGAAGAATCTGCATGAATAGCTTACCAGAGTTAATTGACAACTTGCAACCCAAAAATGGATTCAGAATTTAGCTCTGTTTTTCTGCACTGAGGGGACCCTAAAAGGAAAGATAGTAAATTGCCTTATTTTCTAAAGAGTGATTGATTGAGTTCTATAAAAGGTTAAAACCTAAGATTATACTAAGGCAGAAAAGAGAAGAAAATGGGTAGGGTCAAGTTGCAGCTGAAGAAAATTGAGAACAAAGCATACAAGCACATAACCTTTGCCAAAAGGAGAAATGGCCTTGTCAAGAAAGCCTATGAACTTTCAACTCTATGTGATGTGGAGGTTGCTCTAATCATTTTTTCCCCAGCCGGAAATCTCACTCTTTTTGAGGGAAAGAAAAGGTTTAACTTAATTTGTTTAGATTTTGATGTACTGGTGAATAATTTTGTTGAATTTCATGCCTTTGATTGGCCATTTGGTACTCTGTGTTTTCTAGGGTAGAAGAGGTTCTGTCGCATTTTATCCAAACCCCTGCAAAGAAGCGCGGATGGTATGTGAATTTTGATAAAATGGATTATGTTAATTGGAAATTTAGCTACTTATGATTTTTGAAATGAAATTGAAAATTGGAATGGTAGGACAATGTTGTGATCCGTGAGGTGATTTTGTGGTACATATCTGTGGTGTTAAGAATGAGCTATATATGAAATGAAATTGTGAAAGAGAATTTTATGAGAGATCAAAGGGTATGGAGAAATCTTGGAATTTTTACACTGATACAATTCTCTCTGTGTTTTTCCATATACCAACTTTTAATCTGTCCACCTGTCATCCAATTCGACAGCCTGCCAAATCAAGAGGTAAACGTTTATTCTTAATCCAAACAATTCTGTGGCTAGTTGTTGATTGTATGTCATTGTTGTCCTAATGTGACAAATGTATGTGATTACTTGCAGTTAAGGCAAATCATTTCTCAGCTGAACCTCGAAGCTAGTGTCTACTGTCACAACACAACTTTCTCAGGGTATGTTCTGCTGTCTCACTAGAGTATTCTGTTAAATTATCATGAGTTTTGGTTAGGTGACTGATTTGGCCTTTTAATTTTGCTTTCCTTTGCTGATCCTGGTTAGCAATTGCGGTAGAACCATTGGAATTGTGAGTGTTGATTCTGAATTGGAGGTATATAAAGCTGATATTAATATTATCTTAATTTTCTGTTAATTATTTTTTAATAATCATAGAGTAGAAATTTTTCTCTTTCTTGAATGCAGGATGTTCAGAACCAAATCCTTATTTGCAATTCCCAGCTGCAGGATGTGGAGAGGGAACTGCAGTATGGACTTATATATACTTCCATATCAGACTAATAAATTTTGCCTGATATTATAATCTTAAACAACTTGTCCTAATGTAAATATCCTTTTGAAGGTACTTTGTAAAAAGTCCTAGCTGCATCAAATCATTGAGTGATTTGGAATACCATGAGAAGATCTTGGAAGACACACTGCAAGTTGTCCGTATGCACAAGGCAAGATCTATGGTTAATCATAAATCTTGTGCAATTTGTCTGGCTTTCTTGTATTCTTACTGCCACTTCTAATATTACAGGAAGCTTTAGAAGCACATAACAGTATCCTTCTAACTCTTGAGGTATGTGCGGATGCCATTATAGCCCATCTGATTGGTCCATTTTAGTTTAGCTAAGACATGAGAGGGGAAATTGTACTATAGAAGATACTCTGAATTGATCCATTTTTCTTTAACTAAGACATTATAAGGGAAGTTGCAATAGAAAATGGAAGGTGAAACAAAAAATAATTAACAGACAATAGATAAGGGAACTTTAATTTACTTGTGCTGTTCATGGCAAAGAAATGCATGTATCCCTTTACCCCAAAAAGGTATGTAGAATTCTTTCCTTGGAAATTTATTTGAACAAAATGATTGACAAAAAAATCTATTGCATTGCATTGTTTATCAAGATATGGGTTTCAGAAAAGAAAATTAAACAAGTCATGTGCAAGGTAAATTCAGACTTAGCAAATACCTAATAATTTGCTTTTCTGTGGCAATCATATTAGGAACCAATTTATCCACCCTCTTCATGTTCCTTCGATTCCTCATTGTACTTTGGGAGTTACAACTTGATGAATTGGCCTTCGCAGGACAATCACCAACTTCCAAAGAATTTTGCCCATACAAATGGCTTTCAGCCTCTAAGGTTAATATCTCTTTTTTTTTTTTCTTTTTTTCTTTTTTTTAATTTCTTAATATAGTTTTATACTGCCATCCTCTAGTTTGGCTTCTCTGAAAGTTGTACGTTAGAAGTACATTATTGTCTCTTCTTCATATTATAGAAATGGACCAGAAACTTTGGTTGGACCGCCCCCATCCTCATTAACATACCTTCAAGGGCATGGATTCCTGTGTGGACCTGAATTGAACTATATGCCTGATCAGGTTACTGCCAATGAGCAAAAGCCGGGGTCTAGAATTGTCAATTTCTCTCCAGGGATGGAAATCAGGCAACAGGTATGTATAAATTAAACCGTCTTTTTTCTCTTCCTGTGGAATGAAGATCTCCATCAAGTGCTTGGATAAAAGTCCACAAACGTGTGATATGAGAAAAATCCTCATAGTGGAAAGTTATAAAATGGTTTGCATTTGAAACAATTAAAGCAAATGCTTTAATGAATGTTGATCTTTTGCAATGTCATTCTTGTATATATTATTACATTCTTTTGGTTCTGTTACTTCTGTAGGCAACCGCGGTTAGCAGTACCATAGTGCGGAACATGGGTTGCAATGACAGTAACTCAAACCTTTGACTCTGGTTTCTGGTCTTTCCCCATGATCTGTGGGCCGGACAAGGTGAATCTTATTGCAAATCAAAACTTAAATTTTAAATTAGCTTTACCTTTATTGTCTGGTTGGAAACTTCGGTGCAATGAATCAGTGATGCATTTTACAGTGGATTTCTGCAATAGCAATGTAGCATGATTTTGCTTTTTTCCGTGTTCAAACTTGGAATGGTACAATATTTACTTTTTCCCATGGTATTGTGGAGAATCTAGTTTCTTGATTGGGTTAAAAACTGACATGGAGACACATAAAGGTTAGCTTTAACAAAGGTTGAATCACTTTGAACGACATTACTGAGCTCTCTAAAGGCTAAAAGCAATACAGCCCCAAATCACCTTAAGCCATATTAAGGCACCCAGCCAAATCTGCATGTAGAGTGCCTGTTGCGTTGTTGTTGTTATTCTAGGTTTGTCTAGTCAATTCATTACTTTTTACTGCGCTTTTATTGATGGCTCTAAGCAAATATCACACTAAAGAAAAAGATAATAGAAGCTTTACAGGATATTGCGCATACTTTAAGGTGCAGGTCACAACATGCTTTGCTTATCCCATTTAGGAAATAAAGCATATGATATACTTAAATATTATGGATTCCTATTTGCTTAGTTAAAGAATTGGATGGAGTACATGGGGTCATTGAAAAGTAAATGATTCGTGATTTTTTTTCCTTGTTAGTATCTGAAAGAAAATGATGCTGCTTATTTTTATTTTTTATTTTTTGATAAGAGCAATGGTTAAAAGTTAGTATGTTAAAGGTGTGTATTGAACCCGAAACTTGAGAGTGCAAATCATATACTGTTTTTTGAGACAACAAGTAACTACTGAATCACGACACGTAAAATACGATGCTGCTTATCGAGTACATTACTTATAGTAATTTTTATTGGTTCTTTTAATTTTTATTGATTTTTTTATTCTATAAAATATGTGAATTGATACAAATTTACTCATTTGATATGACATGCTGATCGGTTTGAAAATTAATAAAGATGACCCTGAATGGATGCAGAAACCCAGAAACGAGAAACAGTACTTCTGTATTGCATCGATAGATGCACTCAGGATAAACCTCTACACATGATACGAAACCAATGACGTGAACACCATTTAACACATAAATCATCCCAAGGATAAACTTAACGAAAATGTCTAGGATCTTGCACGTGAACCAAAATCCATGCAGATGAAGCCCACAGATGTGGATGCTGAAAATGAGAAGGATTTAACATTAATCTTCGGAACGTTAACAAATTTACAGACTTTGTAAACACCAAATCCGAGATATGAAACAATTGCTATCCATGGGTAGCACTTTTAACGTCCTTTTCCTGGAGAGAAGAGAGAATACGATTCCAAATTGCCATGGACAGACAGACATCAGAAAATCAGACATTATTACATACCAAATTATTTCACAGAAGCCCAGACCTGCAAACTCCTGAACGGTAAAATGACTAAAAGCTAAAACCAGATACTTTTAAAAGCTATGGAATTTTCCTCCATTTTTATTGTTCTCACGTCGGTATGCAGTCATCATCGACGTTGGTCCGGTGTCCAATGCGGCAAAGCTGGGCTGAAGTGAACGGAAACCACCCTGGAGTCAAGCAGCTCCATGATAGGGGTGAAGCTAACACACCTGGGTACTTTGTACTGGTTTATGGATGCGCCCCTGGAGATTGCGTAATCCATGAGCTCTTCAAACGTACCGTTTTTCACTATCCTTATCTCCAGTGGTCCGATCGAGTTGTCCGCAACACGGCTCTGTCGATAGACTGTGTTTAGAGACTCCTCCATGGCTAAACAACATCGGTTCAAGACCTCGTCGGTTGGGGAATTTGTTGGGTCTTTGACCAGCAATTCCCAGTATATCACGTAATGCCCCGGGATGGTCTTGGTATCGGCGTAGCTTGTGTACTCAACCACGCTGGTGTTGAACTCCTTCAGCAATGTGGAGGCGTTTTCAACGGCCTTTTGGAGCTCAGCTTCATCGGTTTTGTCCGATTCGATGCTTAATAGAACATTCTTTCTTCTTATGAAGCGCAATTGAGGAGCTGAATTGTGGAATCCAGTCACCAGGAGGATGTCACCGACTCGGTACCTGTAAAGTCCTGCGTAAGTGGTGATGACAAGCTCGTATTCTTTACCGACTTCCAAGTCGGCGAGATCAACAAGGCGTGGAGGTGAGTCACGGGATGGGGCTGGTGTGGAAGGATCCTGCGGTAGGAACTCAAAGTAACCCATGTTTGGCATGATGTTGTAAGAGACCTCAGAGGGCTTGCACATTGGCTCAAGGTTAAGCCCAAAATAACACTCGGACGAAGCATACATGGTGCACGCCATTGGCAAGCCACCGCTGTAATACTCGAGGGTAGGAATGTATTGAGCCATGGCTCCGGTGACAATAACATCTAGATACTTCGTATTGGGCCAAATCCTGGTTATGATTCTTTCCCAATTCTCCTCTGAGCATTCCTTGGTTATGAATTCTGCCAGTTCCGGATTTGGCTTCAAGATTTTGCTCATGCATTCCAGGATTGAAGCATCAGTAATTTTGGCATTTAAAGTTCCAGTGTTGATGTCATGAGCGAGAAGTTTCCAGTTGAGTTGGAGAAACCGGATGGCTCTGAGCAGGCCAGAGGCAAAAACAGCACCAACTCTAAGAACCTCCTCTCGCATTAGAAGGCCACAGAGCATCTGAGTATACATGCTCTGGAAGGAGTCGACGCAGAGAATGGCTTCATTCGGACTGGTGTAGACATTGTAAGGATCATACGGCCTGTTCTTAAAGTGCTCGCTCCTGTAGTAGCTGGTGAGGACAGGACGAGCTACAAGGCCTCCCGGAGTCTTGGTTTCAGCTTTCACAAACAGAAAGTAAAGAGCCTTTCCTTTGTCCAAATCCGGTATGTAACTGTCAAGCCACAGGCAAAAATATCAACTTGGTTTTCAACAAATTAATGCTTTTGTGCAGTTCTATCTTCTAAACCCAAACAAAAAAAATCTAGATATTTACTCACAGATTCATCACGGGCATCAGAAGACTGTACAAGAGCTGGCGTCGGTCCCACTCTTCGCGAATTGTAGGCATCAGTTTCCTCTCTCCAGCCGAAGTGCCAGAACTGC